CCTGTAAATTGGAAGGTGAGCGGCAGGGAAAATTTACAGGCCTCCGAGAAGCACTTTAGCGCGGCGATTCGCTCGCACTGTCACCCTGGCTTAGCTCAGCCTTGTAGAAGGAGCTGCAGCGTGTGTATAATTTATGGCCTCTACGTATCATGTGCATTATCTGTATCATACTGAACCCGGCCGCCGCCGCAGCACGGGCTCTGGCATCTTCACGTCTAGTTCCTGGAGGGTCGAGCTGAGTCTGATTTGCGCAGAGCGCTTCGATGAGCCCAGAATTGCGTCTCCCCTCCTCCGGGGACGTAGCCGCGGTCGCAGATTTTTGCTGATGCGGAATTTATTAGAGGGGGAGGTCGTCAGGAGTGTGCTGAAGAAGGTATATCGAGGACGGTCCCTATTTATAAATTAGGGAGATTATTATTCATTTGCGCCATAGGAGCTCCCGCCCAGCCCCCCCGGTGTCAGAGGAGGACTCATCTCTGGTCAGCGAGGGGCCGGGGACTGGTGGGAATAATTGTGTCATTCTCACCTTCAGTGAAAAGCCTGGTTTTGTTTTTATATATATTTATGTATCCGTGTCCGGGATTTGTGTACACAGCCGGAAGCTGCTTAGGCAAAAGGAATGACATGACTGTGCCGGCATCTCAGACCAGGAAGTAGATGGTGACCCTGGATGATGCCTGAACATAGATGGCGCCGTCCTTCTGGAGAGGAAAGCAGATGACGGCATTGTCAGGGGGAGCACTGTGTAGGGTTGCCACCTTTTCTTCAAGCGAAACCCAAACACTCTAGTGCTGCATGGCGATTTTTTGGGGGGAGAATATACAGGAGAGAGCTAGGAGAGACAGCCAGGGGAGAGAGAGGAGGAGAGACAGCCAGGTGAAAGAGCTAGGAGAGACAGCCAGGGGAGAGAGTGAGAGACAGCCAGGGGAGAAAGTGAGAGACAGGAGAGACAGCCAGGGGAGAGAGGAGAGACAGCCAGGGGAGAGACAGCCAGGAAAGAGAAGGAAGAGAGACAGCCAGGGGAGAGCGAGGAGAGGCAGTCAGGGGAGAGAGAAGAGAGAAAGCCAGGAGAGAGAGCGGGGAGAGACAGCCAGGAGAGAGAGCGGGGGAGAGACCGCGAGCAACACATCTGCCTGAAGCAGAACCTCGGTGCCCTGCCAGACTTTTCTGTACCCTGTTTTTCAGACACCTCCTTGCTCCCCGAGTTCCATCGTCCCTCCGTGTCCCGTCCCTCCTCCATGCACTCAAGTTGGAACACCCGGACCCCGTGGTTGCCCCTGTACACCTGACATTGTGACATCTTGTGCCCGGGTTTCAGCTGGCCTGAGACCTGGACACTGTACATACAGGACACAATCTGGGACAGGTGGTTACCCTAGCCCTGTGATCTCTGGGAAGGGGAACACATACCTGGAAGAATTACAATGATTCAGTACTGAGCATATAGCACCCAACATGACTCGTATATCTGATGACAGGTCCACTTGAATAATAATATTTGACAAAATGGCTTGTTCAGCAGATGTATGTGTTTTAGGTAAAAGCGGAACATCCCTTTAAGGAATGGCTCAGCATCTAAAATGATGGTGTGCCGGGGACAGGTTCTCTTTAACCTAGCCATGTCCTTGAATCCTGGCCTTTCTCTTCGAGAATCCATGACAGTGTCACACTCCAGCCCCCCCTCCCAGCATTTTCTGGACTGTCACACCAGAAGGGGGGTGAATTAAAGGTGGCGGGGGGGG